GTCCAGCTTTATCTTCTTTAACAAGGTGGAGATCGTGACGATGATCCAGGACGATGAGCGCTTCCTGCTCGATGTGTTTGCGGTGCTCACGGATCCCGCCACTGGAGACACAAAGCGCCGCGACACTGTTCTTTTCCTGAAGGAGTTCTGCAACTTCGCCCAGAACCTGCAGCCTCAGGGCAAGGACTCGTTCTACAAAACACTCACCTGCCTAGGCATACTGCAGGCGCTGGAACTCACTCTCGTGATGAACGATAAGAAGACCAAGTCGGCCTCCATTGACATCCTCACGGCCATCGTTGAGTTCTCGCCGCTGGTGGTGCGCAACTACACGCTTAACCAAGCCAACAGGCCAGAGGGGGTAAGTTAATCTAAGAATTAAAATAAGCCAGCTGGTTATTATGCCTCAAACTATGCCAAGGAAATAAGGGATTCAATTCTTTAAATGCCGAAGTGTTTGTTTTCAAAGCTAGTTTACCGTGTATATTTAAAAAAATGTATTTAAACTATAAATACTAAATATATAAATGGGTTCCCTGGAGTTATCTAATGGTAAAGATCTTCAAGTACTATAATTGTTTATTTTCTTACCTTTTTGTAAACCTAGGAGCGTGTGCTACTAAACATTGCCATCGAACAAATGCTGAACGACTCGGAGCCGGAGCTTGGCATTGCGGTGCAGCTTATGGGCATCGTTAAGATACTATTAGAACCGGAGAATATGCTAACCGAGAAGGGCGATTTTCTCAACTTTTTCTACAAATACAGTGTCCAGACGTTAGTGGGTAAGTTCGTGTCATTCGCAGTTGGATTCTCAGCAATATAACCGATCAAAATTTGCAGCTCCATTGATGCATAACACGACGGGTGACCGTCCGCAAAACGAGGACTATCAGACCGCCCAGCTGTTGGGCATCGTCTTGGACATTCTTTCGTTCTGCGTGGAACACCATAGTTATCACATCAAAAACTTCTTACTGCAAAAGGATCTCCTCAAGCGAATTCTGGTGCTGATGAAGAGCACACACACGTTCCTTGTCCTCGGCGCTCTGCGACTGCTCCGCAAGATAATTGCACTTAAAGACGAATTCTACAATAGGTGAGAGAATCCCCCTCGTTTTTGATTGACGCATTACTAATCAGCTAGTCATTGTCTGCAGACACATTGTCAAGTGTAATCTGTTTGCGCCAGTGGTGGATGCTTTTATTCGCAACAACGGCCGCTACAATCTTCTGGAATCAGCCATCCTGGAGCTGTTTGAGTTTATAAAACTCGAGGACATCCGCACTCTGTGCGTCTACTTCGTGGAGAACTTCAGCAAGATATTTGATGAAATCGAATATGTGCAGACATTTAAGTACTTGAAGAACCGATACGATCAGTACCAGGATCGACTTAAGGACCGCGACAAGATGGAGAACCGAACGGACGGGTAAGTGTTGCTATAGCGCCTTGTGCTCCAACACAATGTGAAAATCTTTGGGTGTATTATCTTAAAGTGGCCTGCCCATCATCCGTAGCGGTGGCCGGTTTCGTCGTGACCAGCGGCAAATGGAGGAGGAGGAGGAGATGTGGTTCAATGAAGAGGACGATTTCACTGAGGAGATCGACACATACAACAGTGTTATGAAATGTAAGTAATTATTTACTATACTAAGTATATCAAGATAAAATATTTTTAACGTTTCGGCAGTTTGTTAATTAATATTTCTTCAAAGTTCAAGTATTAAATTGTTTACACTATTTTTGTCTTCCAGCCGTCAGCGAAAAGAATGGCCCGCAAACGCAAAACCAGCAAAAATCCTCTCCGCCGCACAGCACGTCGCCGCACACTGGATTGTTGGGTAGCCTGAACACCACCGCGTCATCCACTGCCACATCCGCCTCGTCAGGCGCTCCGGTAGCCAGTGGTAGCAGTAGCCCTGAGTCGATCTCTGCCGACGAGCAGACGCAGGCGGCGGTACATTTAGCCGCCGCTGCCAACATCGCACTTCAGCACCACCAGCAGCAACAACAACAGCAGCAGAACCCATTCCAGCAACAGACACAGCCTGAGATTGCGGAGCTGCAACAGCAGCTGAGCAGCGTAGAGGCGCCACAAAGCCAGGAGTTGGAGCTATCACAGTCGGCTGCCGCCAGTGTATCGCCCACTTCGTCATCCTCTTCTCTGGAGGCTTCCACGTCCTCATCATCGGCGTCTTCGTCCTCATCCTCGTCGTCTTCGTCCTCGCCGCCAGGCTCTTCTGCTGCCGCATCTTTGTGCGATTCAGCGACGGTTGCCGCCGTGGCAGCTTCACAGTTTCTCTCAACGATCGCCACGGCTATGGCGGCGTCTGTGACGGCGGCGGCGGCTACAAGCAGCTCGCCCAGTCTGTCACCAGCTCCTGCTGTCTCCAGTCCTGATATCGAGAGCGCAGACGCCCAGTTGCCGCCTAGCGATGACGCCAGCAGCCCGGACAGTGGAGATCAAGATGCGAACAGCACGGATGCTGGAAGCAGCGAGGTGGATAAGGCGACGGCTAAGAAGGTACGTTAAGTAGAGCAATCCCAGGCTGCCTTGCTGTCTTGTTAAACTTCCTTATGGAAGTTCCCTTGACCGACCTGACTCATGATCTACTTCTGATTAGTTTTAATGTTAAAGGAAATAGTAAAACAGCATTTCATAAATTTTGTATGACTATTTTAAAACACTATCTAATATTGGATTTGCCTTACACAGGGTCTGGTGGACTACGAGAGTGACTCTGGCGAAGATGACTACGAGGAGGACGAGGACTCTGAGGGGCCACAAGCACAAAAGCGCGCGCGTCTGGCATAGTTGCAGATGATGAGCACAACAGCATCAATTATAAATTAGTACACACATAACAGAACACAACAAACCACGGCAAAGAACACACTGACCCCCACACACCAACGAATGTTAGGAATGCATTGGCGACAACGACAGACAGCACAGCAGACAGCCGTACGATGTAAGATCGAACAAGAAAACATACAATTAAATTTTAGCATAAAATTTATTTTAAAGGAGAAAGCAAAAAAACCTAAAGTAAACGAGAAATTATAAATCTTACTTTACTAAATTAAATAACTACATATAAATATATATATTAAAATATATATGCATATGAAAACACAGATAACTATAACTGATCAGCATCCCACAGGCAGAAATGCATTTGAGTGCGTGTTGTTCGAGAGTTGGAAAAGCATTAACGAAACAAACCAAAATAAAATGTATTTAGTAGTTAAATCCGACACAGAGACACAGGTGAGGAGGAGGTGCCGTCAAGTGGTGTAGGACATTTGTATACAGACAGCATCCATACGCAAAGTCCCTAGCATGACAGCGTTTAACAGATCCTGTGAAGTTGGCTGCTGGCCTAGAATGTTGTGGGGAAACCAATTTAACTTTGTGCAATAATTCATTGTAGTCGGTATTTTAAGAACAATTGCAAAATGTATCTGGCTTAGATTAGTTTTTATATTATAACGTTAATCATTTTTACTATAATTACCTATGAGAACGATTCCCTGCCAATTGCACTATCACAAGGCGCTGTTTTCAACTGACAATTTGAGTAAGCAGTTCTTATCGCGGGACCCATTATAAAAGTTGCTATTGTAAACAGCGCTGTTACATCGCACACAGCGTAAAATGATGTTAATATTTTTAAATTTTGAATTTAGATCCCAAAGCAGTGAAGTATGTACTTTATTAAGATTCTGTGTACTTTCTGTTGCAATTGTTTTCTTAATACCAACCAGATGCCGTGGCCAACTTGACAATTTTTGTTAACCCCTTGAGTTAGACGCAGATAACACTTGAACCCAATGAACCTTGTATATAATTTAGTCAGTCTCAATACGCGATTGGTTGATAACTGCCCTTGCACCACTGACGCCGACGTTGAATACATAAAATTGGATTTCAAAAAATCGGAAGTTTTGCACAATATCGAGCAGATTGAAAAAATCTTGAGAAGCGTTGTCTGACTGTGTAATTTAAAAGAATTGTTGCGCTACCCTTGCATTATTAAACCACACACGCCACACACATCAATAAATAACTAAATATAATGATAACAAATAGAACGTAAAGTTAAACTAAAGTGGGGCAAAACAAACATCAGCAAACAAATAACAATAAAGTAAAGTAAAATAGTCTTCTTACGTTTTCGTGTAAGTTTTTTTTCATATTAAACTATAATATTAATTTGTATTAAACGAATGTAGTAGGGCTCACTTGGAACAACTCCACTCCACCCAAACACGCATACATACGCTCGCTCACACTCAAACCAATCGACATCCCACAACCACACTGACAGAAAGTAATAAAGTTATTTGTTAATAATCGTATTTGCCATGTGCGTTGCGTACTGTACTACATTTATTTATTTTAGTGTTTAAACGAACTTGTCACTGCAAACGGTTTCCCTCGAGCGACCGATCGTTTACCCTCCCAAAGTTCACGCCCAATACCTATAATACACCTATAATATAGTGGGGGAGAACGTATCCACACATTTATCCTTCCAAGTTGATGTTTTTGTTTGTCTGATTGATTGAGCAACATTAACAAGACGCATCCACAAAGTGCATAAACAAGAATAAAGATTACGAGAAACAGAAACGAACACAAAAGCAAAATGAAAATTAAGCGTAAACGTAAAACAAAAACACTATAGTTTATACATAGTATTTATATGAATCGTGTATTGTATATGATATGCTGTCTAATCCCTAATCCTAACACATACCCATTATATCTTTAATTTGAATATTTTATTTAGTTGTTTAAACATCCGTGCGTAAAAAGCGATATATATAACTCTATATTATGATTATGAGTAAATTAAATAATAGTTTTTAATAGTTTTTAAACAGAAACAAATGGCTAAGCTCTCAAAGTGTTCTTTTATTTAATATATTAAACACCTGATATTAGGTGTAGGGTGGTTATCCATTGCCATGGCAACCAATTCAAGGACCAAACAAATGTTTCCAGCAAATGTTGACTAAACTTCTCGGATTTGTGTTTAGTCACTTATTTGACTTTGTTACGAAAATGTCGGTGGAAGACTCTTGGGTTTTCGATTCCCTGGTGTGCTTTCTGCACGGACCTATTTGGAATGCTCCCCTCCAGACTTTTATAGAGCAAAAGTCCTTAGGTGAGAACATTTTCCGAACGTGTTATCGCAAGTAACTCATGGATTTGGTGCAGTCTTCGATCCCAACCTGCAGTTGGATGAGAACAATCCAGAGATCCTCCAGATCCACGAGGAATACAAGAATCTGGTGGATTACATGCTGGGTAGCTTCATGGAGGAGATGCAGATATCGCCGGAGCAATTCGAAATTGCCTGTTTGGAGGGACGACAGCAGGGTCAGGGTGAAAATCCCTTCCAATTTCACCAGGTGTTGTTCCAGCAGGTAAGTGTTGTGGCAGACTTTTAAGCAGCGGCGTCCACGTGATGAGATCTTCCAGATATGGGCCGCCAATGACATCAAGATTTTCATACGGATGATGACGCAACGAAATGTGGAGCTTCAGTTACAGGCCCTTGATCTCATAGAGAAAAATCAATTAGCCCAAAGTGCCGCCGATGAAGGGGATGACCGCAGTGCAGACGCGTGCTCGGATCCAGGGTGGGTTATTATTCCTCGTCAATAATCCCCGTCTTATGCAACGGCGCTGAAAATGTTTGGGCCGTTTTTTTTTGTTTTTGAAAAGTCCAAACAGAAATATTATCTTAAACGAGAAAGAAGGAGGTATCTTCGGCAATCAGAAGTTTTATTATTAACTCTAAACCTAAAAAAGTTGTCCAATTTCTATAAAACGTCTAAAACATATAAAATGATTTATATTTAACAATCTGTTATCACAAAAAACAATTTTTTTTTAAATGAGATGAGAGTATTTCAGAGTATTTTATATGCCTCTGGTTCCTCAAAAACAATGATAAGAATAATATTTTATTTTAATACTTATTTATTTATTTATTTATATAAAGCTAGCTTAAGTTTTAAAACTATGAACTAACTATAATAAGAGCATTAGCAGCTGAGGCCTTCCGCTCGTCTGGGATGACAGTAATAATTTAATTTAAAGAAATGAGAACAATTTTAGATTTTGTGAATAAGTTTTAATACTATATATCTTCGAGGCTGAAGAATTGACCAAAAATTATCAAAACTTTTCATTTTCATATTTTATAATCTTAATGATTCGAATCCTGAATTCTAAATCCTACATTCTACTACAGTGATACTGCCTCCGAGGTGGAGCAAATGATAGCCAAGACGGTGTCCGACGAACTTGAGAGTCCGGAAGCGGCTCTCACTCCAGAGCAAGATGTCAGTCTGGAGCTGGTTAACGACAAGTTTCAGCGTCTGAATCTGTTCTTCGAGCAGGAGGACCACGTGGATCCCAGTGATGTGGTTTCGCGGCAGGAGTATCTGCGTCAGCAGCGCGACAAGATTGTGGAGATTAAGAAGCAGACTCGAGCCAAGCAGCTGCAAGAGACCATGTCCCGGGGTACTCCTCATGCTCCAGAGGGAGCACGCCCCAGCTCCGCTTTGGTGGCCCAGCAACTGCTTGAAAACGGAGGCCAGACCAAGGAGCTCTCGATGCCGGCACCTCTAGAGGCCGAGGAGAATGCTGCCCTTCAGCTAAGACGAAATCTTGCCAAGCGCCTGCGAAGCGAAGTGGTGGAGCAGAAGTAAATGAAAGGACACAATATTGTCTCAACTATTCCCATTTATTGCAGATGTTCAGCCAGAATTAACAAGGTGCATTAGGTATTGCGACATGCAGACTAGTTCAGTTGATAGATGCACAGGGTGTGTCTTATGTTGTACTTATGTGTCCCGTGTATCCACTCGCCCATGTCCACACACATCCGACCCAGATTTTATGGTGGGGGATGTGTGTGGGCATAGTCGAGTGGAACTATTAATTTCTATTACGCTTTTCGTCAAAATAAACAACTTGCTAGTTAAGTGTTTCTCAAAAACGGTGTTGATTGCTCTTCTATGTGGGTATGCGATCCCGCAAATAAGACATGATTGCATCGGTGCCCTTCATCAGGATCTGATGACGGGGCTGACGAAAAGGATTGCCTACGAGTTCCAAGTGGCTAAAATTTAAAAAGGATTTAAGATTGGGTACGAACTTCTGGTCAAGATCTTACGTTATATTAGTCAGATTTCCCAATATGGGCGGCACTGCATCAATATCGTTATTGCGCAAATCCAACGTGCTCAGTCGTGGCATACTTTGCAGACCCGACACATTTAACATTTTGATGTGGTTCTCACTGGCAATGAGGATCTCCAGACCTTGTAACTCGTACACACAGTTGGGAATGAACTGGAAACTAATAAAGGGAAATGGAAAATATCATTTAAAGATTCTTGCAATATATCAAAACATGGAACATAATATCTCTACAGGTTACGATAACCTATCTAGATACTTTAACGCACCGATTGTTTGCAATGCTAAGCTCACGCAGAGTGTTCAAAACGCCGAACTCTTTTGGCAGATCACTTAACAGATTGTTGGACAAGTTTAGGTAGGTAATACGTGTAAACTGGGAGATGAACTGTGGCACATAGCCGATTAAATTGTTGGATAGCACAAGCTCCGTGACCAGGTTTCGCATGTGCTGAAGGCTAAAGGAATTTATATTTTAGTAAAATATTGGATCATCATGAATGTATTGCGACCTACCCATTGGGCAAGGTACTCAGCTGGTTGCGCGCAAAGTCCACTACATGCACTCCCTCATTTTTGGCAATCTGAAACACCTGATCGGGTACTTCAGTAAGTTCCTCCAGATTGACAGCTAATGTGCGTGTATGACGTAATTTGTATCTGCAGGATGGAGGAAACACCCAAGTAAATATTGAGGCTACCACAAGGTATACTATGTTATAAATATCAAAAGGTGTAAGTCTTGGAACTTGGTGATACACTACACCCAACGTGGATGCACGGCTAAGCGGGAGGATTCGATCGATTGCCCATAGGGGAACTGCTGTTGTTGCTGCTGCTGGTACATAAAGCCATTCGGATAGGGATATTCCATTCGCTGTTGCTGCTGTTGCACGAAAAGTGAGCGTAGGTTTCCATTTTGATGCTGCTGCTCGTAGCTCTCAGGCTCATAAACGTGACCCTGGGTCTGGCGATCATATTCCGGACAATTTCTTAGCTGTTCATATACACAAAAGTTCTGCTGCATTTGCTGCTGGCATAGATGTGGGCACTGATATTGGAACCCATACTGATTTTGTGGCTGGTGATAGCTACAGCGGCGGAGATCAATGTGCTGGTCTAGCTGGAAGGAAAGCTCTAGATACATACCTATCAGGAAAGTTTCCAGGCATATCACCATCGTCCGCTTGGCCACCACGCAAACGGGTTACACTAATGCCTCCTAATGAGAAGGCACCATCGGAGCCACCTCCCTCCTCCTTGGACTTGGCCAACGCTCTCTCGTGCAGCGTCTTTAAAATCCGCGTCGTTCCACACTGCAGAATGTCGCGACGGATCATCTTAATGGGATTTCCCTCCACCTGCAGGCTGATCAAATGAGCCAAAGAGGACAAGGTGACTGGGAGGACGCTTATCGTATTGTTTGACACATCCAGGCGGTTCAGATTGCGCAGCAGGCACAGTTCGTCGGGCAGTTCAGTGATCTTGTTGTCCCGCAGATCGAGAATCTTTAGGTGTGGCAAGTTGCTGCACATTGCTTTTGGTATGGTCTGAATTGGGTGGTAAAAAATATGATTAATAAGAAATTAATTAAGTCATTTTAAATTACCTTAATAAAATTATTGCTGGCATGTAATTCGCTCAAGGTCTCGTTCCCCTCAAAATCGGGCAGCTCTAGGATGTCGTTGTGCTGCAGATAAAGGCATTCAAGCTTTCTCAGCAGACCCATATCCTCAGGCAAACAGGTCAGGTCGTTTTGCATCAGATCAATTTTTTGCAAAGCTAAATGTGCAAATGTTAGACATAGATTAGCAAGTACTTCAGGAAGAGCAGCACTTACAGCGCATGTTAACAAGATCGGGCGGGAGTTCCTTGACGTGATTATAGGGCAACAGGAGCGCAGTTAGACGCACCAGGAACCCAATGCCGCCGGGCAGGGTTTGAATGTTGTTATGCCCACCGTCCTTTCGTTACAATTGGGTTAGCAAGCAGTTGGTTAGAGAGGAAAATATCGTAGGGGATTAGTCAGATAATACGCCACAACCAGCTTTCTATAATTTATTAAACTCTAAAAGAAGCATGCATTTTTAAAATTATTGTTTTTGTTAAAATATATATACCATATAATGTTATCAACTACAAGAATTATTAGTTTCTATTATACGAATAGTTAAAAAAAAAATTATTTAACATTATTTGTAAAAAATCACTGTATCACTTTTTAAACTTATACTACTTTGCTAAAAATATTTCCGTATCCTGCATAAACTTATTTTTTAACTCTGGTTAAATGAAATTAACAAATAATAATTAAAATATTATGTAGTTTTTTGTGGCTTTACCACCAATATATTTATTTTTTTATCGTTTAGATGTGTTCTCCACCTCACTTACCAGAAATTCGAGCATGTGAAGGTCACTAATGTCCGGATCGATTTCGGTGAACCCATTGTACGAGATGTTGAGATGTCGCAGCTCCGGCAAACTGTAGATCTCCCGTGGTAGCTGACTGAGCTTGTTGTGGCTTACATTGAGGCGCATTAGCTTCTCTAGCTTTCCGATTTCTGGCGGCAGTTTCACCAAAGCATTATCGTGCAGCTACAAAAAATTGTGTTCTTCATTTACATGAATTTGATTAATAAGAATCCCATACTGTTAGCACGGTTAGCGACTGCAGGTTCTCGATCTTGGGCGATATGTGCGTGAGTGTATTGGAGCTCAGGTCTAGGTTGTTCAATGGCACTTGGTTCCACCAGGCGTCCTCCTCCTTGATTGTCAGCTGTTCCAGATTCACAGCCTTGCTTTCCGTATCCGCCTCGTTGATGTCATAGAGTCGTTCGGGCACTGGAAAAAATAGATATAGAATCAATTAGAGAGCGCTTGTTCTGTGAAGTTCTACACTACAGGGTTCTGCGCGGGACGGAGGCTCGGAATCATCAAGTTCCAGCTCATCGTCCGGATCCTCGCTCTCCAGCTCGTCCGCCGAGGAGGCCATCTGGAATTCGCGGATCTGGTAGTAGCGTCGCCTCCGCGGATAAGGACCGCACATGCAGAAAGAGGTGAGCTTTTTCCTGGAGGACGCAATCTTGTTAGATGATTGGATAGAGTCACTCATCCGACGTCCATCAGTTCACTGAGATGACTGAACCGAGCGATGACTGGTTTGCGGACGCACCCCTGGAGCAGCTTTATGGATCGGTTTGAGGCGCCGATGCTGTCCAGTCGAGCGGCAAATATGTTCCCTGCCTTTTTCGGTATCTCCAAGGTCAAGTTCGTGATCGAGGTAGCGATCGCTATTATCTCACATGAACTGGAACCACAAGGCACTGCTGTCGACGAAGCCGGGACTCCATGACAGACACCCCTCCTTATTCGGTCGTGGCGTGACCTTGGACTTCCAGCGACGCAGCTGCTCCTGGGAAACCACTGCTTGCAGGTCCCACAATGTAGCTACTTCGATTTGGTTAATACAGTCGAAACTCTATAACTCGAATAGTTTTGAGGCAGTTTGTTTAACCAATGTGTCTTAACTTTTAAAACCATTTAAGTTGGATTTATACAATTAATTTATTTAACTTAAAAATGTAAATTAACAAGATTTAAAGTAATATATTTACTATTATTATTTATGTGTAGCATTGACAGGTTGAGAATTTAAAAATTTAATTGAACAACAAATTTATGATTGCATTTTAGACGCTAAGCACTTTTAATATTTTCATTAATATTCTAGTATTTATAATTGTTTGAAGTTCAAGTTGCTGAGGTTCGACCATATTTAGATAATAGTTTTAATATTCTCCATAGACTTACCTCTGGCCAAGGCCTTGTTGGAGAGATTCAGAGTGCCGGACTTCCGCGCCAGTTTCCAAAGTTGCTGGGTTAGCACGGAGTCGTCCTCTTGACTGCTCCTCTCGTGGAACAGCGGCCGAAACGAGTAGTTGGATCTGGGGGAGTGGGCCACAGGGATTTGGCGAGGACTTTGGGCGCACCGGGGAATCCGGCTGGTGGAGGAGGTGGCTCCACCACGTCCACGGCCAGTCCTGTCGCTCATTTCGCTGGGACAGCCGTAGTGGGTGAAGCAGGAGTGACCAAAGGAGTCGAAGTCGCCGCCGAAAGCGGATGCCTGATTACATTCCTGCGCTCCCTGGAACGAGCTGAACTCCACGTCCTCTGGATTCTTGAAGCTGGCGGGAATCACGGGATAAATATATCAGTGGGACGCTAAATAGCCACCGAATCACGGGAATTCGGATTTGTCCAGTTTTTGCGTCTTTTTATTTTGGCTCACTGTCAGCAGTCAGCTGTTCGATGTGCGCTTTCCAACACTGCTCAATTTATGTAGATGATTTTCAACGGTATATATTTTAAATCCCTAAAGGCCGTTACATTTTAGTTTTTATGTTATTTACAAAATATTAATATTATTAATATTTATGTATATTTTATTCACGTAATACAAACGCTAACAGGTCTTTCGGTGAAAACTATTAAAAATCTTAATCAAATTTGTTGGCCGCAAATAAGCCAAAAAAAGTAATTTTTTAAGAAAATTTCACAAAGAACGATGTAATTTTATTAAAATAATGTAACGAATCATAACCATTAAAAAGTTATATAATATGGTTCAAATCGAAAGTAATTTTTAAAACAAATTAAAATGAGACTTCACAAGCCATAAAACCATATATTTATTAAAATAATTAATAAGCCAATATAAGCTAATCTACCTACGTTGTAATCAACTACAGCTGCATAAGAATTAAAATTGAAATCAATTTACTGCCACAATCGCTAGCTTTTGAGAACTGTGCACCTGCTCAGCCATGTAATATGTATCTGAATAAATGGGAATAGACGCCCCCAGAACAGTACATAATTGATTTGATCGTGAACTTAAGTCTGTGCCGGGTGTGTACAATCCGCAATCCACAAGCAGATTAAGAGCTTAGGTTAAGTCGGTACTTACTTCATCATCTTCTTGGGGACCCGATTGTCTATCTGTTTGGCTTCTGTTTCTGCGGGAGATACAAGATACCCAGTTACTTTGGAGCAAGGTCAGCCGCAAAAGTCAGTCAGTGGGGTGTATTAGATTTCCGTTGTTAAGTTCTACAAATAGTGCACCCCCAAGTACACCCTCCCCCTCAAATGGGTAGTTGCCGAAGCGGCAAAAATGCTGAGCCACTTGTCTTTGCGCCATGCCCATTGCAATGGGTCTCAGTCTGGCAACGGCTATGGAACCGGGGGCATTCTACACCGGCGTGGCCACGTCGACTGTCAATCAAAATTATGAATAATGCCGGGTCGGTGGTTGCCTCCAATTGGCCGCCTTCCCCATCCACATGGCCCATCCATCCAATCCATCCCCTACTCAAAGTGACGAGGTGCAAACCGCGCGGTACACTTGCCAGTTGGCATTTGGTTCTCAACGCAAGCGGACCGACCACGTGGAATAGTTTCAGTTTTGGATTGCATCAGCCGCAGTTTGGAATACCCTGAGACGTGCCCAAGGAGATCCCCGACTCACAGTTGGAATATCCACGCAATGGCTGCCGGTGTCTTCAAGAGCTTCATGCGAGACTTCTTTGCGGTTGGTTGATGGATATATCATCCACGAGGGGACTTAATTTAATACTAAAGAATTTTTTCAAAATGTTACCAAAGGATTTTAAAAATTACCTAAAGCTTGTTGACAGAATTTCAAATGAAACCCAAATAAGTATTGGAATTGCCAAATTTTAATTACCCAATGAAATATTTGGAATATCCAAACTTAACTTAACAAAGAGTGACTTCTATTCGGCATAGAATGTAATTGAGACCCCTCGAGCTCCTTGAGAATTATTCCAGCTGATGAAATGTTTGGAATGTGGGGGGCCACTAGTCGACGGGATAATCCCTGTTAATCCACGACAAAAATGCAGCTGGCTTAGTGTGTTCAATGAAGGCAGCGAAAAGCGTTAAATCCAAACCCCATTTCCCCACAGGTGAAATACGATGAGAAGCTAAATGATCCACAATCGGAGCGACTGGATGGAAATGGACGGCTCTATCCCAATTGCTCCTCGGACGTCTGGCTGCGATCCTGCGAGCGTGAAATAGTGGATCCCATCGAGGGTCACCATAGTGGCCACATCCCGCGATGGATTAGCGGCAGTCTGCTGCGCAACGGACCTGGCAGCTGGAAGGTGGGGGACATGACCTTTGGCCACCTCTTCGACTGCTCGGCACTGCTCCATCGATTTGCCATTAAAAATGGCCGTGTGACCTACCAGAATCGATTTGTGGATACGGAAACGCTTAGGAAAAACCGTTCTGCCCAAAGGATCGTGGTAACGGAGTTCGGAACTGCAGCTGTTCCGGATCCTTGCCACTCAATCTTTGATAGGTTCGCTGCCATTTTTCGACCGGACAGTGGCACGGATAACTCGATGATTTCCATCTACCCCTTTGGGGACCAGTATTACACATTTACCGAAACACCTTTCATGCATCGGTAGGTAACTTTTTTAGAAATAGTGGAAAGCGGGGCGAAATCGACCGGTGTGTCAAAACCGACCTCACCACCCTATCTCATAAAAGACGACAACTGAAATTTTTCTTAAAACCAAAAACCATCTGGTTTGCATTAATCTAAATTTTTCAGAATCAATCCCTGCACACTGGCCACTGAGGCGCGGATCTGCACCACGGACTTTGTGGGCGTGGTGAACCACACTTCGCACCCACACGTCCTGCCCAGTGGGACTGTCTACAACCTGGGGACCACAATGACCAGATCTGGGCCGGCTTACACCATTCTCTGTTTTCCGCATGGCCAGCACATGTTTGAAGATGCACATGTGGTGGCCACGCTGCCCTGCCGCTGGAAACTGCATCCTGGATACATGCACACATTCGGCTTGACGGATCACTACTTCGTGATTGTGGAGCAGCCACTGTCCGTATCCTTGACGGAGTATATCAAGGCCCAGTTGAATGGACAGAATCTCTCCGCCTGCCTCAAGTGGTTCGAAGATCGACCGACGCTCTTTCACCTTATAGACAGGGTTTCAGGAAAGCTGGTGCAGACCTACGAATCGGAGGCCTTCTTCTACCTGCACATCATCAACTGCTTCGAGCAGGATGGCCATGTGGTGGTGGACATTTGCAGCTACAGGAATCCCGAGATGATCAACTGCATGTACCTTGAGGCCATAGCCAATATGCAAACGAATCATAATTATGCTACCCTCTTCCGAGGACGTCCATTGCGATTTGTCCTGCCTTTGGGTATGGTTCCCAAAGCGAATTGCGGAAAGCGCAGTCTGGTCAAGTCCTTGTCCCTCGGCGGTCTGAGTTCCTCGCAGATTAACCGCGGTATGAAGCACTCGGTTTCGCAATTTTCGGACATCACCTACATGCCAACCAATGGGAAGCAGGAGAATTCCGGCGAGGAGAGTCCCAGGAGAGATCCCAAACGGGGTCGCTACGAGGAAGAGAATCTGAATAATCTGGTCACCTTGGAGGGCAGTCAGGCTGAGGCTTTTCAGCGATCCAGCGGAATCTTCCTGCGTCCAGAAATGCTTTGCGACTGGGGTTGTGAAACGCCCAGGATCTTTTATGAACGATACATGGGCAAGAAGTATCGCTACTTTTACGCAATCAGCTCCGATGTGGATGCAGAGAATCCGGGAACGGTAGGTTTTTTAATGAGATTTCTTAGATTTATTACTAAATTCCATTTTAATAGCTCATCAAAGTGGATGTGTGGAACAAGACCTGTCTGACCTGGTGCGAGGACAATATCTATCCCAGTGAGCCTATTTTTGTGCCCTCGCCAGATCCTCAATCCGAGGACGATGGCGTCATTCTGGCATCTATGGTGGTGGGTGGTCTCAACGATCGCTATGTGGGCTTGATCGTCCTGTGTGCCAAAACCATGACCGAACTGGGTCGTTGCGACTTCCACACCAACGGACCTGTGCCCAAGTGCCTCCATGGATGGTTTGCTCCCAATGCCATTTAGAATATAATTTATATTGTTTATATAGGATGACCCCTGGCCAAGATCATTATACTTAGAGCAAATGATCATTCTCCTTGCCCAGTATTACGCATAGAATTAGACTAGTGACTTTTTTTATTAGCTCAAAACTTTGGATTCAAAATATTTGCAATAAACTCATTCCACTTGCGCTGGAACACCCGATTAATCTTGCGTCGCTCATCCGAGGTGAGGACTGAGTATTTGAGGGAGTTCAGGGCCAGCTGCTTGAGGAATCGGAGATCTGCTTCCGCCGGGGCCAAGGCCATGAAGGCGTAGTAAAAGTCGTAGCTCAGACCCTTGGCACCCCAGACACCCGGGTCATCGGAGGATATCACTATGGGGAAGTTCTCGGCCACCAGGAAACTGGCCGGATGATTCCGTAGATCCCAGACAAAGCCCAAAACTTGATTAGAAATGGGATTCACCTCGATGGCGATGTTTCGCTTCTTTATCGTGGACCACAATTGTGGATGCTTGGGCAGGGCGAAGGCATGTCCAATGCGCTTGGTATTCAGCAGAATAGCGTCCATCATGTTCCAATCCGTCCGACCGTGCCAGTCTAGGGGTTGGGTCACATGGGTTATCGCAAAAATGCTATATTATCTCGATCGCTTACTTGTCTCGCCGGCGTGGAAGAAATAATTGGCCGTGCTCGGAAGATCGGACAGTTGGTTGACATACTTATTTAGTGGATCTCCTGTGTCCTCCTGACCAATCAGATCGAATCCTATCACAAAGTTTGGCTTGGCATGGCTATGGAAAAACAAATAGTGAGTTAACTGTTACTTATTTTGTATACTTAAAAAAATCAAAAAACTTTTATAAATAAACTTACTGAAGTTGCTTAAAGGTCGTAATGCGTCTCACCATCTCCTCTTCTGAGGCCCGATTTCGCTTGGCATAAATCACTTTGAGGCCCACAAAGTCATGGTGCTTGGCCTTGAACTCTTCCACAATCCTTTCCAGCTCGTTGGCCACCTCCAAGGTGCTCAGAGTGCGGTTGTTGTCGTCGTAGAGCTGTAAATATGGTTACAGCATATTTTGTTCATATTTTTAATAAGGTTGGTTCATGTTATTCAAGCCAAAACTTCTTACGGGCGACAATGAGGCTCGGATCTCCGCATAAATAATGTTATCCTCACATAGCTCCTCCAGCATACGTTTGTGAAAGGCGCAGTAGGTGGGTCGGTATTTGTAGAGCCGATCCACAGTGGTGAATATGTTCTCGAAGCGCTCCCATATTTTTTTACGGTTCGGCAAGAGGGCTTGGGTATTGAGAAGTCAAGTTACAGGAGTCGTACACCACACAATGTAGATAGTATCCTCACCTTCTGGCCTGGGTCCGAGCATATTGATGTGCTTCTCCAGCTGGCGCTCGTACTTGCCCCGATCCTCGGCGTTTATCCGCTCCGTGCAAACATTCTGGACCTCGCTGTGGCATCCAACCTGATCGTAGGTGAATATTAGCAGTCCGTCTACATTGCGGCAGGTGTACAGGTTGTTGGTGGTGGTCAGGTTCTGGATGATCCACCGGGAGGTCACCATGCCCGTGTTGTGGCCGTGCAGGAAGGCGCCCTTCGGCATCTTCTGGATCAGCCGGAAGACCTCGCTCTGGCGCACGTACTGCCTGCCCTGGAAGAAGTGCATCGCCGGGGCGTACTTCTCCGGCGTTTTGATTCCCTCGGCGATCTCCGCCCGCTTCGCGTTCATCAGGATGCTGTTAGCCTTCTCCTCGTCGGACGACAGCCAAATGTTGCCTCCCCAGCGAGGCCACCCGCTCCGCCTCCATGATTTGCTCCCTCAAAGTCTCGTAAGCTGCTAGATGCAAAAGTGGTATTAGGAAAAAGTGTAGACTATTTTATAAATATAAATGTTTTTTTGATTATAGTTAAAACAAATTTGAACGCAGGTTTTTGGAGAATGCAAATTTGGTATATTTATGGACTCCAGAAGTCCAATTGTAGGTCACTTTTTAAGAAGACATCGGAAACTTAGAAATAATTAACATTAAAATGGGTAAAAAATTAATCAACGCTAAAATCAAACGCAAATTAAGATGCAAATTCAGAGTCAAAAAGTCTTAAAAGGTTTGAAATCGGTTTCAATTTGGTTATGCTAGGGACCTAATTGTGGGGAACGACTGATGCTGATCAAGAACTTTATAGGGTTTATAGGTTATACGATGCAAAACATTGTATTAAGTCTCGAAATTAAACATTTTAATTCCGACATTTATATATTACTTTTAATTAACACATTATATTGTTCTGAACAAATTATGTTCTCGACCCACTTCACAATGGAATAATTTATGTCCGGAGCACTTTTGAACTTTAGAAAACTAATCTTTGATAATAACAAATGTTTTTTTTTTGAAAGTCAATACCCTGAATTCCACGGGCTTGGAAAAAATTTGAAGGAAATTGAGAACTGATGAACCAGAAGGTCCTGTGGCACTTACGTAGATCCGCGGCATGCAGCCTGCCCAGCAGAAGAACCACAGAGGCTACCATAATTCCCAGTAGCCACATCGCCTTTTAGTAATCTCAGTTCCGCTTTCAGAATATGCGCCGTACTTTTTCGATCCGCGTCTCTTGGCGATCGCCAGCCAACTGATAATGCCTCCCGTTTGGAGATGACCCGTATACGGCTTGTGCAATTTCCACTCTGATCATGATCTTGGTCGCTGTGGGAGCATCATATGGCATCTGGTGCAGTTCAATGACGGGGATTAGTCCGCTCCGGAATGGGGCGCGAAATGTTTGAATGCCCCCGGGTTGGCACTTTCGTTGACACTCAACCAATTTGCGAATAAATTTTATGACGTAGCATGGTCAGTGCCAATATGCCCTACGCAAAAACGATTCAGTTTATAGAGCATACACAGGAATCTCGAGATGTAAAAATGTTTTCAGGTACATCGTTTTGGAGCGCATCATTGGAACCCACCAGCCCGACCATCTATGCTTTTATCAGTAGAGCTATATTTTTATACATATGTAAATACATTGGGTTCGTGGGATTTTTTTTTCATATTGTTGACTTTCCTAATTTGCTGTGTTTACCCGCCGAAATTATACTTGGCATTGAACGTGAAATGGGGGCATCAGGCCATCGATTATATAAAAACAAAATCTCCTGGAAATATTTTAAGCTCTATATCGAATCTTTTAAGCTCTAATGGGAATTTGCCCATCATTTATAAATGAATTGTGGGGAAAGATTTTGTTTTTTGTTGGAATGACTGTTTTGTTACTTGATCTCAAAAAAAATACTTATCTGAAAAAATATACATACGTATACTTAATACTTATTCTTTATATTTATTATATTTTATTATCTTTTTATTTATTTAATAATTGAATAATAAGCCATTGATAGTTCTTGATATATGACATATTTTATAAAAATTTATATTTATTTGTAGGCTGCACAAAATATTAAAATGTACCCCTAATCTGGTTGTGCTTGTTTATTTCCTCCTTAGAACAATATTTGTTTATAACTTTACTTGGTAATAACAAAGTAAGCCCGATGATAATTTATTTCATATTAAACAAGCTAGCGTTAAACAAACATTACAGGCATTTTAAATGCCTTTTACTTTTGGTGGGTAACCGGTGATAATTGACACATCTGTAATTACCGTAGATGTCATAAGCATTCAGACCACTTTGTTGGTTTGGGGGAACCGAGGAAGTTGTAATTCCCTAGTCGTGTGCTGTTACTAGAAACCAACAACCGCGTCCGCCAACGTCAGTGAAAATTTGCCAAAATAGAAAAATACAAATAGTTAAAAATCAGCGAACGACGGCCGCGCACGCCTTCGTCATTTTAAACCACTTAATATGCGCGGGAGGCATTCAATCACAGAGATATATAAAAAAGATATCCAAACAATCCATCCAGCTACTAGAATGAAATTGTTTCGGCAATTCCGAGTGCGGGAGCGTTGTCAACCGTTAAGAGGCGCGGTGGGGTGGTGTCGGCTCCACCTCTTCTGGTTTAATCTTTTAATGAGCAGCAGGCTTCGCGGAATGATTTTGTAAAAAATTATTGTGGATTTTTTCTTGGCTTGCACAATTTGAACACCCGCTTTCGACGATGGTATCCACAGTTCTAATCGGGCACTTCTGGCGAGCGGTCGCAAAGAGAAAACAGTTCCCCGCCCGAGACCCAAGTCTATAATAATAATAAGTCAACGTGTCCGAGGTCGAGTCAATATTTGGATAGTGCGCTCATTAGTTGGACAGTAAAACCACATAATTCGGACAGCAGTAAAAGTCCTTTCGTACAATGAAGCAATTGGTGTTTTGGCTAGTGCTCCTGATTTCTCAACTTGATATCCAGGCACAAACTCCGCTAAGTATGATTTTATCTTTTCACCATATTTCCCAAGCCATTTTTAAATTTTTTGAAATAACTTAATACTTGCAAGGGAAATTCTTGAAATTGGAAAATGATCTAAGCTATTTATATAAACTAGAAATGAGAAATGGCATATTTATGACCAAAACCAATTCTACCAAATTTATAGGCTATGAGCAAGCTCGTCAGGCGGTTCTCACGGCGGAGGAGGAGTTGATGACTGGTGGACACACATATCTGAACACCCAGGAGGCCAAGGTGGACGACATATTTATGGAGTATAAGCTCGGAGAACTGGCCCAGGGATTCCGAAATGCGGAGCAGAATGCGGCAGCCCTACACTTTTTCAAGGCTAAGCCGCTGATTGATCGAAGTGGAGTCTTCCGGTTCCTTCAGAAAATGCCAAAAGGATCGGATCTTCATTTGCACAACAGCGCCGCAGTGAGTTCCAAGTGGGTGGTGGATGACCTGTCCTACATGCCCGGATTGCTGCGCTGCACCACGGCCACGGGCCGGAGTGTCCTGACATTCCGGCGGACCCCGAAGGAGCACAGTTGCCAGTCGCAGTACGTTCGTGTTTCCGATGAGCGGCGCAACTCCTTGGATCGTCAGGTCTACGATCAGAATTTCGAACGTTTGATCAATTTATATACTCCAGTGCCAGAGCGTAAGTCGGTGGTATCCTTTATAAAAAATCCTTGTTATCCTTGACCTCGTTTTTCAGTGGAGTACCCAACAATAACCCAAGTTTGGGATCGGTTCCAGGACATGTTTGATGTTCTTGGCGATGCCATAACATATTTGCCAGCCTTTCGTTCATATCACTGGCAAATGCTCGAGGAGCTTTACAACGACAATATTATGTATGCCGAGATTCGCACAAGTTGTAAAACGGTTAGTATTGAAGTTTTTTCTAATAATTTTTAGTTTCATTCAAATCATTAAACTTAAAATATAGTTATTCTCGTTTTGAACGAGAAATACTGAAACTTTTTAAGAGAATTGACCAAAACCTAAAGTCTATATATTTTATAAGAGTAAGAAAAATATAGCTTACAATTTTAATAGACATCAATTTATAATCGTCTTATATATTTTGGTGGCAGTTTTTCGAGATTGTAAGATAAAGCGATATTAAAAGAAATCAACTGGTGAATTAACTATTTCTTATCTCTTAGCTTTATGACGCCAGTGGACGCACTTTTCCACGAGAGCGCACTATACGCGAGTTGTACGACCTAAATGAGAAGTTTGTGAAGTTGCACGCCGACTTTCTGGGATTCAAAGTCATCATTGCCGTCTATCGTGGTTATGAAATGGATAAGCTTAAGGAAAACGTTGAGGAGTTTAGACAGTTGCAGTAAGATCAGAAGTCTATATAAAGAGAACTAACTTTAAAAGACTTTTTACAGCCAAGCTTTGCCCCACTTCGTTGTTGGATTTGATTTGGTAGGTCAGGAGGACAAGGGAAAGCCTCTTTATAGTTTGCTGCCTGCCCTGAGGAATTTGCCGCCAACAGCTCGCCTTTTCCTGCATGGTGGAGAGACCAGTAGGTGGTGACCCCATAACGTCATTCCATTATTTAAATAATAATTTTCTTTTAGATTGGTTTGGTGCCTCCACGGACATCAATCTGCTGGATGCCTTGTTGCTAAACACCACTCGCATTGGCCATGGTTACGCTCTGGCCAAGCATCCGATCCTCCTGAATGCCGTCAAGACCCGCCAGATCGCCGTGGAGGTGAGTCCCATATCGAATCAGGTGCTGCATCTGGTTTGGGACCTGCGCAATCATCCGGGAGCCCAGTACATGGCTCTTGATGTGCCCGTAGTGATATGCAACGATGATCCCGGGTTCTGGAATGCCAAGGGTCTGAGCTACGACTTTTACTATGCCATCATGAGTCTGGCGCCCAACAATGGGGGCTTAAGAGTGCTCAAGAGTCTGGTGTGGAACTCGGTGCGATACTCCACGATGACGGAGGAAGAGCAGACGCGGGCGTTCCAAATCCTGGAGCACAGCTGGTCGCGTTTCATAGAAAAGGTGCTGCAAGGCAGTGTGTTTTAAGTAAAGTTATAAAATAAAGTTAATTACCAAAGTTAAATACTTCGCTTTTAGCTATTTATAAATTTTAAGAAAATTTAATTTTTTTGACATTTATAAAATAAAATAAAAATGGTTATATTTAATTAAATTATTCAATTTTATAAAACTACAAATATATAAAATTAAAGATAATAACCACATTATTTTTAATTATTTTATAAGTTATTCTTCATCAAATTTTTCTTGGTATATATATTTTTGCAGAAACCCCTCGCAGCTTTCAAGGATTTGCAGATATGCGGCATTAAAACCGCCCATGCCTTGGCTCTGTAAATACATAAGTGGTTAAGATTCCACACATACTTCATAGTTCAAGTTATTTTTTATTACAAAGTATGGATCTTGGATGATCTCATCCTCCTTGCGACCAATGTAGCTGCCCAGCAATTGAATCTTGCACTTGGGGCTGGGATTAAGCCTGGTTGCCATTTGCTGAAGTTCCAACAGGTTGCTGCTGTCCATGGCGAATACGTAATCAAAATCATAAAAGTCTTGTGGAGTTATCTGAATAAAAATATAATAGTATTACAAGGTGATAAGGTGTCGATTTGTTATATATTACCATACGACCCAAGTGTTTAGTTTTAAGTCCATGCTGTTTTAGCAATTGTTGACCGCGTACCTGAGGCTCTAGGCCCACATTCCAATCCCTGAGTCCAGCGCTGTCCACATGCCAATCCTGAAGGTTCTGTTTTAGAACTAAATGCTTCAGGATGGCCTCGGCCATAGGAGAGCGACAGGTGTTGCCTTGACCAAAAATAAATCCTTTAATTTGCTATTAAACGAATTATTTTGTTGACACTTACCTATGCACACAAACAGAACCTTCATACTTACTAATGGTGGGAACTGCAAGTTCCGATGAGTAATGCAGCTGATTCATTTAATAATATAAAAACCGGTTCACGTATCGTATCAGCATTTATTAGTTTAAACTATATCACAAATCTTCACACATCATTTACTTCTGTAGGCGCTCTTTCATGAAGGCGGCACATGCTACCACGCATTGCTGATAAGCAGTTTCGAAGCCCTCTGCTCCACGCTCCTGAAAGTCACAAAGATCATATTGAAAAAGTAAATTAAAAATTAGATGGCATTAATATTTTAAATCAAGTTAAATGGGTTTTAAATCGTTCACATTAACAATAAGCAACTAACTTTGAGTTCAATACACTATTTCAACAGCATTTAATTCATTTTGAGACCTCCAATCTTTCAAAATTATTATCTATATATCTATATTTGTAACTTATTTTTAATACCGCCATCTATCTATCTATCCTTACTACTTATGGAAAATGTCTCACAAAAGATGAAAAAGTATTGAAATGACTACGCGAACTGATTAATATCCAAGTGATCATAGACAAAGTGTCAGGCTTACATAGTAGGGATCCTCAATGATGCGGTTCTTCTTCTCAAGCCCGAAGTCGCCTAGCATAAGGAGCTCAGCTTTGGATTCCTTGGGCGCCAGGCGCCTCAACTCGCTCATGTTGTCCTCGTCCATGCCGAAGATGAAGTCGAATTCCGAGAAGTCCTGCTTACGGATCTGGCGCACTATGTGGGTGCACTTAAGCCCGTGCTTTTGTAGCGTGCTGATGGCCCGCGGATCGGCCCGGTTGCCCACATGCCAGCCTCCAATAGCCGCGCTGTCCACCTCCACGTCCTTGACCTTCGCTTTTTCCAGTGTGTCCACCATTACGACCTCTGCGATGGGTGATCGGCAGATATTGCCTGTGAAATCAATGATTCACCTTAGTAGGATCAATTACTATTTTAAAGATATCTTCTTTATTACCTAAACAAATCATTAGCACTTTCTTCACCATATTTCAAACAATTTGCAATGGAGATTGAATTGACAAACAATTTTGTGTGTTGATTTTTTTCCGGCTGGCGAGAGTGGGTTCCAAATAATGCAGCCCTGGGCCCGGAATTCCGAACTAGTTGGCAACGCGGCAATCAGCTGGTGGTGGTGGTTGGCTTAACCCTTAGGCGGTCGCTTGGGTCTGATTTACATAATCTGATTCCGGAGCGCTTGCTTCAGGAAATGATGGCAGGCAATGTTACACTGCTGGTAAATTTTCTCAAATGGTGCTTCGCCCACATTCTGCATAAAAAAAAGGTGTAAAAAAAAAATTTGGGCTTAAAAAATCAAAGGGGCATAACTGTTGTTTATAAACATTAATTTCTTTTACAAAATAAAAAAAATATTTTTAAAATTTAAAAAATTCTATTGTTTAAAAACTAAAGTCCAGTATAATTGAATGATTTTGGTAAGTGTTTTTACAACTTGATAAATATCTTTAAAATTATATTTTAAGTTTGTAAGCAAACGAAAGACTTTTTTAAGAATTTGAGTTTGATTCTTAAAGAATTTTCCCAATAAACTACAGAAGCTTACGTAATAGGGATCTTCAATAATGCGTTCATCCGGCTTTAGACCAAAATCGCCCAAAAGGAGTACTTTGGCCGTGGCATAATCCGGAGTCATTCGCTTCAGTTCGGCCAAATTGCTGCGATCCATGCCGAAGATATAATCGAACATGAGAAAGTCCTCCGGAATCAGCACCCTCGCTCTGCCATTGTAGTCGATGTTGTGCCTGGCCAGCACATTCAGGGCTCGCTCATCCGGTCTCCTGTCGCAGTGCCATCCTTCGATCCCTGCGCTATCCACATGCCACTCCCCCTGAAGCCCCGCCCTTTTCAGTACGTCCATCATAACAGCCTCGGCAATTGGGGAGCGGCAAAGGTTGCCTGCGTGTGCCGTCCATTTGCATATTACCCATTAGTTAACCCAAAATGCAGGAATTAATAAATTACAAGAGAGTACGCACCCACGCAGACCATAAGGACGCTGCTCTTCTGTGATCTCTTTCCCATGGCTCACAGTTTGATGTTTTGGGATTGGCCTTTAAATTCCCGAACTGACTTGACTGAGAAATTTGGGAGGTTTTGTAACTCAATCGTAAATGGGTGTGGTTTATTACAAAAGTGTTTAAAAACGTATGACAAAAAACGAAATTGATATATGTAAAGAAAAATGGCATTTTAAACAGTAAACAATGTGTTTATTTTTTATACCATCTTTTTAAAATAAACGGATATATAGTATTCCGAGATAATTAAAACCATCGGATAATTAATCGTTAATGTTTATACAGTTACATAGTTTCAATAATAATAAGTATATAATTTGACAAGCATATTCATTTTAATAAAATAAAATCTTATCTTATTCAATTAGTCGTGTTGATCCTTCTTAAAAATCCTTTAGATTCTGGCCCCTTAAACAAATGTCGAAAAATTTCTAATAATAGCCTGAACTCGTAAACATCTATGAGATATAAACAATCTCCGGATTAGTCTACACCTGTATAATCGGCACTCAGGATGGGGGTTCAGTTTGGTCGTTACACTCTGTCATCAGGTGCCTAGTTTGGATCACACCTCTGGCACTTCCGGCTGCCTGGTGCATGCACCACATCCTGTTTACCCACTGTGCGTATTTACTCCGAAAACTCTGACTAAAAACTGCGCTCAAAGCAACTTTAACTATTAGCATTTAATTAAAGTTCATTTGCCGGCGACAGACCACTCTGTTGAAGGAGAGCTTTTGCCCAGAGGAATGAAGAGGTAAAGAGCCCTGACCTCCGTTCTGGTTTTGGTTTGGCATTGGGTGGCCAATGAATATGCAAGCTGCACCTGCTGCTCAGAGGACAGATTGGACCTAAAACGTGTAATGACTGTCAAGAAGGTGGAGGTTCTGGGTTGGGTGTCAACTTAAAGCGGATGACCAGGTCTGGCTGGAAAAATAAAGTTCCTTTTTTTAAATAAATTCGGTTTGAGTTTTATGCAAATTCTACTCAACCATCAGGGGCAAACAAAAGCCAGACGAAATGCATGTGCACAAACTTTGCCAAGTTGCTGTAGTTGTTGATGTTGATGTTGCTTTTCCTGGTAGTTGGGGGCGGCTTTGATGGCATCAAAGTGAGCCTGTCGTTGTGCAGACAAATGTTACGTACTCTCGTCACACTCTTACATATGCAAATGTCCCTTGCCGGCGCAATGCTGCAGTGCGTCCTCCACAATTGACAATTGTTGAAAATGCAAATGGAAATGGAAATGCCAAGACATGTGCCCAACAGCCACACCAGCAATTCATGCATATGCCATGGATATTGAGGTACGGACGGGGGTTATGTAGAGGTAAAGAGGTAAAGACAAATGCAAAGGCGTTGTCTCTACTATCATCATCCGGCGACGACATCTACTCAGATAAGATAAACGATGGCAGAGTCAACAGCAACAGCAACAGCTAGTATGGGAAAGCATGAACTCAAAAAAATCCTTTATTTTATATTAGGAGTAAGAGTTCTTAAACAAAATATATGGTATTGTCCACGTTTAGTTAATTTCGTATCACAAACCTTTGCTGGTATGTTAAATCAAAAATCCCTACTAATTTGATAATAAAGTATCTAAAAATATGCTGTCAATATTGTTTTGTTGGTGTTTTAAATTTAAAAAATCTTTTTTCAGAGGATATTGTCAGAAATAACATATTTAACCATTTTTCTTAAGTTTAAGTTTTAAAAATTCGTCTTATCTTTTTCTTCAAAAAATTTTCCTGAAAAAATTATTGTTCTTTAATTCATGAGATTTCGGCGCTTATTTTTTTCTAATATATATCTTAAACAATTTCTTAATAATTTTCTCATTTGTTTTGTCAGTGCATTAGGGTAAGGTCAGTGTAAATAATGAAAACGGCATTCGTAGCCCACCGCAGGCCGAAATAAAATCTCAAGTGCAAATGAGGTAAATGACAAGAGATACGTAACCATCATAACCTGTGACCTGCCCCTCTCCGTCACAAGACTCCCACTTGGTTGACAGTCGAGAGCAAACATGTCCAAGATGAACATCCATTTTGCATTTGGCAAATGAAAAGCGGGAAAGCTACAACTGATGTAGTAGTTGGCAGACAGCTTGTCTATGCATCGCTATCTCTATCCATCTGGCCCTTTGTAGATGTATCTGGTATCTGTATCTTTCTCTCTGTCTGCCTTTTGCAGCTTCATCAAATATTTAGCGCCAGGCAGGCGTCTTTTTTCCAGGGGGACAGAATCGGGGGCGGAGGGACGGAACCATACAAATAAGCGCATTCATTGTGTTCGTTCAGTGTAAATACGAAACGGATGTAGCACTGCTTGGAAAATAACAACTTTGAAAACTCGAGAGCCGACCTGCTGTGATACTGTAAACATTTGTCAAGAGAAAAGAGTATTGGGCTTACGGAGAATTATTCACAGGAGTTTTATTAGATTCAAACTTTAAAAATATATAGTTTTATAAAAAAGTAAGATTTGCAGAACTAAGAAAGGAGTGAGACTATAAAAACACGTTATCAAAATTTATTACTGAAAATAATTTAACATCAGAAAATGAAATTTTTAGCAGATAATATAATAAATATGGTTGATGTAAACCGATTTTATGATTATTTTGTATTGTATTGTATCTCACAGATCAATTTGATTGATTTGCCAATGTATCAGATTTCAATCAACAATAGTTATTTTCACATTGGCTGAATTTCATAACTTCGAATAGAGATATTTTAAATGCCAAGGAGCTGTCAAGGCACCGCAAACAGAACTAATAAAAAAAAACCAACTTTCAGGGAATCGATTTTAGCCCTTGTTTATACGTAAATTTAATAATCCTCCCGCACCCTCCCCAAACGCAATATACCCCTCAAACAGCAGATGCTATATAGAGAGCAGGCGAACTACCCTGCAATATATTGTGGGTGTGGGCAGTGCCAACGACCAACGAGCAGCAGCAGCAACAACTACCGGCACAGCCAAAAAGCCGGCAACAACAAACGCCCTCACACCGGCAACATGTTGCATGTTGCTGCCGTAACAGCAACATGAGCGGCAAACATTGCACTGGCGACTGGCTGTGGTGCGCGTTTATCTCGCTTCTACTTGAAATGTTGCTATGCGATATGCTCAGCAACATTAGCAGCATTTTGAAAACTTGTTTTCAACGTAGTTGGGTTTAGTTTACTTTGAGACGGCGACGCAGGTGGACGTGTCCGAGTGCGAGTGACAGAGAGCGAAGAACGCGAGCGGAACGTAAGCGGACCGCGCTATAAAAACACAACAACTACCTAACAGTTCAGTGTTTGTCTTTAGTTTTATGGCGCGCGCGTCGCGTCAGGTAGTTTTTCTGATATATATGTTTTTCGTGATTCGTCTCGCGGCGGTGTTTTATGGCTGACAAAACCATCGAGCGTGTAAAGGTTGTACTACCCCGGTACAAAAAAGGTGGTGTACATTCTGCGTGAAAAGTGCTAGTGTTTACCCTTTGCCGGGATTACTCATCGGCGCATCATCATCATCAGCGACTCCACTTCGCGTACAAACGAAATCCCAAAACCAGTATCTGAGCCCAAGTATCTGCAAGATACGTGAGGCAGTCCAGACCACATATTGGAATTTACTTAACACGTATGCAACAACGCACACCAATACCAGCCAATTTGGAGCGGGACCCATTGGATTTCGAAACTAAACTACAGGGTAGGTAAAATCGGTAATCGGGGTTCGCTTCCCAAGAAAAACCACTCACACTTGTCCAGCTGCGTTTTTCCACCCCTCATCAAAACGTTAAGAATCCTAAAGACCTGCTACCTGTTTGGGATTGACCCTGGTTTTCCCATTAGTCGCTAGAAGATTTCACTGCACATATATCGAAAGCTATGGCTATTTATAAATACCCTGCGTTTTGGGGCCCAGGCTCAAATCCGGTTTTCATACCATAATATCCCAACCCATGTCTGGCGGGGCCAACATCAATTCAATTTCTACTGGCTGAGTGAGTTTTTAACTCTCAACAGAAGAATCTCCAGGTCGACGAGCATCTTCTCTGTGATTTCTGGAGCTGGTTTCTTCGAGCCGTTTTCTTTTCCCTCGCTTTGTTTTCTTTCGTTTCGTTTTCGTTTTTTACTATTTGCCGATCGTGTTGATCATGATGCTGTGGCTTATTGCCGCCAAGATTTTGTTTTTGCTTTTTTTTTTTGTTTGCCGATGAAGGTGCATGGCTAAGGCCATTTACCCAGTTTCCAAATCGCTAACCGATTTCTGCTTATTCTGTTTCGGGGTTTGTTTTTGAGGTATTTGCTGAATCACACGGGGATCATTTGAATGTTTTAGCCAGACAGTCGCTGGTATCGGGCTTTATTTTAGAGTCACACCCATGGCGAATAAGTATCCCGGTCCGGAATTGACTCACGGCCAAACAATGCGACATGCGGAGAATTGCTGTGCGGCCACTGGCATGAGCAAAAGAGAAAAATCAAAAATGCAAAACTTGTTGCTAATAAACAACAATTACAACAACCAAAACATGTTCAGCTAACCACAAAAATGCTGGCAGCTAAACTCTAGAGTCGTTGCCCAGGAGCTCTGCACACGAAAACAAGTCGGAGTACGGAGCCATTGCTGATGTTGCTGCTGTCACACTGGCCACCAGCAACACCAACAGCAACAGCAACAGCAACACCAAGAGCAACATCAGCAATTTGTTGTTGCTACACAGTGAAATAAAACCCATTCCTAACGGTTTATATAACAACAAGGGTTTAAGCGTTTAAAATCCGTAATAAATAAATTACATTTAAAAACCTATAAACTTTATTCGGTTGGCTTACAATCCGCCTTAAAAAGTGCCGCAGATAGAATCTTAAAATTGCCTGGCTCATATATTTTTTTTAGTGTGGATTTGATTTTAAAAGGTTTTTATGGCTGTTTTTATTATAGTTATTTTTTAAGCTGCTTAAGAGTCTGATATAAATCGTGCAGTATTAAATGTGATTACTTTAAATCGATGTCAATATCAGTTATATAAGCCAGTCGCTATAAGTTAGCTCAAATCTAAGATTTCTAAGAAATGTTTGTTAAAATAAATTTTTTTTCTGTGTGCCAGCGCATATTTTTGTCGCCATGTGAATACCATAAAAAGCGGCCAAGTGGTCAGCTGCCTCCAAAGAATGGTGCTCGAGCAAGAGTAGCCATAACTGTGTCAGTGTGCAACTAGAAGAGGTCTAAGCCTATTAAGCACACTGGCTTAAGATCGGACGATGCTACAAGATAATACCCGTAGCTCCCTGGCGATTAAGTGTAATTAATGCCGACAGGTGTCACTGAATTGGCGCAAGTTTAAAGAGATTTCATCGCCCTAATTGGCTCCTCCAATTAGGAGCTATGCCCGCACTTTCGCCACTTCAAAGGCGACACTTCAACTAGTTGCTCTCTTTATTCACGTGATTAGCATGTGGACCGCTACGGATTTCGGATACTGCCATATTTCTTAGTTTTCCGGCCTTCATACCTCCTCTTGACTCCGGCGGACGCACCTGGTTACCTTGCGCTTGAACTCCGCGTAATTCTCACGATACTCCTTGGCCGCGTCCACATTGGCAGCCGATTCGTCATTGGGATCGGTGAGCATGGAGATCACCGAGAGGAGGATCGTCTCGACCGTGTGAACAGGTAGCCAGCGCTCCTCGGCCTTCTCGTAGCCCCACTTGTCATCACCCGGCTCGTGGAGGATCGAGATGCAGACGTCGCCGGTCTTGTCGATATTCGGATGCCAGATCTCGGTGATGAATTTCATCCGCGGCGGACGCAGTGGGTACTCCTTGGGGAAGACCAGGTGCGCCTTGAAGCACCCACCCTCGTAGAGGGTGTCCGGCGGACCGATGATCACCACCTCCCAACTGAAGATATCCGAGTCGCTGACCAGGCCGGCGGAGAAGCCCTCGACGGGATTGCGCTGCAGCTCGGAGAGCTGGCGATTGAGCAGTAGCGATGCTTGCAGTTCGGACATGTCACTGGACTGCGGGAAGGGTCACTATCAGTTGGATGGATCATCGGAAATGGGCGTTTCTACTTACTGGAATTTTGTTCAATTATTTCGAGTCACTTTCTGTTTTACTTCTACGGCTGCTGAACTACGCTCAATGCGACCTGCCAGCTAGCCCAGAGAACTTGGGCGCCGGCTACTCTGATTTCAACTGAAATGTTATCGAAGTTTGTTTATAGGCGATTAAAAGACTATTAGAATTTTTAATTTTTAATTTTCACTTTTTTAGTTTGGGACAATCTATTAAAAATCAGTTTCTATGTATCAAGTTTACATCCAGTATTAAATAACACTGTGCGAATATTTAGTCATTTATCGCATTATCTTGAACTTTTTTAATGGATGGTACCTGGATGTTTTTTCGTATGTTTATAAATGTCACAAAATTATATGTAAATAAAAACCTTAAGTGTTTATAATTTGTAAGTTACGCATTACATTCAATTCAACAAAAGAATGCCTGAAGGCCATAAAAGATCAATTCCTAAAGTTTGATAGAGGAATGCTTGCAGCTATCTCATAACAATTGTAGCCTTTTGAATGGCAATGTAAAAGAAACTATCTCTATAGAAATGCTCTTAAAAGCGACTTGAAAGTTGCCATTATAAGCTCTTTGGCTCTTGGTCTGGAATGGGTCCAAGGAAAGTCCCTCTTTCCTTTCATTTCCCTCCATTTTATGCAATTACTTGGCCGTTGCTAATGCTACTGGTGCCTCTTTTCCTTTTTGCCCGTGCTGGCTGAATGGAAATTATGATGGCCGCACATTGTTGCCGTTGGTTTTAGCCTTCGTAATTGCGCACAAATGTTGGCCCAGAGTTTCTTGCTGGCCTGCAACTTCGACCACGACATGTGGCTGCCCCAAACTCCATCGCATCCATCGACTTTTCCGCAGCTCTGCGGTTTTTTCTGTTGCCAATTGCATTTGGCTTCGGCAGTTTTTAGCTGGCATTTGGAAAGCCCCAACTCTGGCCGACTATCTGACTATCGCTAACTGAAATTATGTTGCCGCAAATGTGTGAATCGTTAATGTCTCGCTGCCAGCTGGGGTACATTGCGCTTGGTGTTTCGGCACTGCCGGTTTTTCAAGTTTTCCATGCTGCGCATTTTCACAAAAAATTCCAAACGCGTTCGCGTCGCTTTTTTTTATGCATTATTACTTTTGTAATAATATTTACCTAGCATCGCTGCAGCAGCAGCAACAGCAGCATGTGGAGAGTTCTTCTAACAGAACCAAGTCGGATTCGAAATTTGCTAAATTATCCAGCACATGCCGAAGGAGGCGGAGGGTAAAACATGTTTGGCCAGCACATAAGACCGACAGCTGCTGCTCGGCCGGTTCTCCAGCTCTTTCTATATCTCTCCGATCCATCTGACTCTGCCCATTTAAGTGCCACATGTCGGAGACGTTCCTCCGGATCCCGCAGGGAAAGCGATATGACAGCGAGAGCCGGGAAACTCACACGTGCCACAGCGCTCCTCCCAGTAAAACTCGAATTTCCATTGCCGCTGCACTTGGGGAAAAACGCCCACTGCAATCCAGATTAAAAATCTGGGCGAAATTGTGTGCTAAACATTTCAACAGATCATTAAATATTTACTTTTTTTTATTAAACGTTAACAGTAAACGTTATATTAATGTTTGATTCATCAGAGTTTAAATAAATCTATGCAAGGCTTGCATTGTTTAAAATCTGTTTATTGCTGAATAAATTAGGGTGCAAATTATGATTGCTTATATAAAAAATGATTAGTCTCACGAAATTGTCATTGATATTCAAATTCTCTTTTTATTTATTGATTTTTAATGGGACAATAAATTGGTCCTAAATTAATTTTTCGTTGTGAAATTGTATTTTGACATTTAAAAGGTTAAAATATTTAGCGTTGGTTTTCATATTGAAAACTATGTCTGTTACGAAAATTTTCTTTGTGTGCTAGGTGTGTTATATTTTAAAATGCTTTTAAAAGAACATGTGTTATTGTTACTCTATGACCACTGGCCATAAAAATAATATCCTAGAGGTTGGCTTATTCTTAATATTTCTGATATTTTACTTTTTTTTTCTCTGTAGGAAAAGTGTCGCACTCATTGCTAGTGATAAAGTGGCGTTGCTTCAGCGGCCTTTCAAACGATTTCGGCTCACTTTGTGGAATTGATTTTCAATATTCATTAAGACGCCCACACGCAAATATAGACACTGCCTCGGGGTCGTTGCCATGGCATTTGTCCATTAAAACGGGGGTGTTTAAGTTCATCTGCTCGTTGATTTTCCCTCAGTTTTTTTGGTGGGCGTGGCAGTTGCATGCGACAATTGCACTTCCGGCAATACCAGCATACTCCACTCCTCAATATTCCGTTTGCTCTCAGCCATTTGGTTTGACTTTTTTGGGTTTGGTCTCTGTTTTTAACGGGAGCAGGTGCTCTCTCCTGGCTGCGTGCCTCAAATTGCTGCCTCATGTTGCGTCCATCAAACAGCTGACGGCGTCGATCAATTGAAATGGCTTTTCTCCCCGTTTTTCCATCGCCCTTCGAAGTTGCATCGCCGGTGAGTTGCTGCGGTTGGTTCTTGCTGCTGATGACTTCCTGGATCTAATGACGGGGCAACCTGCTGATGAATTGTCTTTCAAGTCGATCATAAAATATATTAATAGCTTATATAGCGGGCAAGAAATGTTATACAAAAGTGAGGGATAGCCAGGAAGAAATTTGTACAATCTCTGTTCATAATTAAACTATGAACGAAATTAAAAAAAATGTATTTAAGTTTTGGAAATGGAATTTAGTCTGCAGTAACTTGATATTAATTGAAAAGAAGCTATTAAAAGGCATGACAGAAACCTAATAGATTATGTCTATGCACTTTTTTGATTTTATAATTTGATAATAATTCCTTAGTTAAGGGATTTCAGTACAAAAACACAATACTTTGAACATAATGAATGTACACAATATAAACATGTCTTTAAGCAGAAAAAACTTGAAAAGTAGTACCCCTCTCTGCACTTCTCATAAATTCAACTTAAGTGAGTGACCAACTGGATTTTAGTGCTTTATTGGCGCTCTGAGTTATGCACTCCCATTTCTGCTGCCCCCGGGAACACAATTTCCAATTGCATGCAGAAATATGAGGAGGAATTGCTCTGCTCGGAGAACTGGCCATTATATCGTTCCGCATTGAGGGAGCAAAACAATGCTAAAAAGAGAACTCAATAAATTGCAGAAAAGCGAAAAGTGCAAAGAATGAAAAATAAACAAGAACGAAACTGCAAAAAAAAAAGGAAAAACAAGCTTTCCACTTGCAGTTTTAATGTGTTTTGTGCGTTGTTCCTCGTTTTATAATTGAGTTGGCAGTTGCAGCTAAAGTTGGAGTTGCAGCCGTGCACTCTTCGCCACCCGAATCCCACCCACAAGCCCCCAACCCAGACCAAAGATGCCCCTTTTTACCCGGTTTTTCCCGGTGGAAATGGGAGTTGGCATCGGGATTCGGGCACGTTGCTGTGCGCTCGTGTGCACTGAATGCGAAAAAGTTCCGCACACTTTTCGACTGCGAGGCGATATTATTATACATATTCCTCATATTTTTATTATTATTTTTATGATACCCAACCCAGTGCGGACTTACCTTTGTGCGCTGCATTGAAATGGAGGCGCAAACTCAAACGCTCGGGGATCTGGTGCACTGCCCCAGACAAAAACCGCCATCCTTGCGGTGGGTTCCGTAATGAGTGCTTCCGTCAAAGCAATTTTCTCGTTCATACACTTGGGCAAAAGTAGTTTCTTAAGGTTCTGGCTTTGGGCAGGTTAATTTTTAGCTTAATTTGTTGGCAGCCCATCTTAAATACAGCATTATCATATATTGTAAAAGTATTTATTTAGATCTAATATAATGTCTTATTTTAATCGTCGTTTTCTTTTTGCTTTCAGACTTTTCCTGATTTTGTGGTAAGTTTAAAGATAACCGTTAACATTTTTGATTTGGTCAAAATATATATTATACATTTGGTAATAAACTATTGTCTATCCCTAAATTACAAATTATATTGGAATTAGAGGTGAATTGCTATCTATTTTTTGGTTGAGTGCACTAACACTTATCCCAACGGGGGCATATTTAAAAGGGCATTTTCTTTCTATCACCACACGGCGGCCTTTAAACTGGATCGACTCTCCATAATTGCTCAATTTCTTGCTTCATTAACGGGTTTTTCATTGCATTTGGTCAGTAATTTGTCAGTTCCAATGAAAGATCGCCCAGGAAGCCAGAGACTCTTAATTTGTCCGACCATAAACGTTGCCCGTTTCCTATAATTTTCCTACACCGACTGTGGACCCAGTAAAGTGTGAAGTGTAAAGCATTATGCGTACGAGTGTTTCATAACTCACTCAAAAGACCGGCAAACAAATGAGCAAAAGTGTGCTACTGGGGAATATGGAATCGAGTCTGAGTCTGGGTCTGGGTCTGGGTAGCCCCTTCTGCCAGATGATCCGTTAGACAGTGCCGATGGCGCCCCAGAGTTCATTTACTCCGCTCCGCCGCCAAGAAAATTCTATGGAAAGAAAAGACTGGCGGAAAAAAGTCGAAAAAACCCCGAGCAACGTTATTTGTAGTTTTTATTTCTTTTATATTTTGTACTTTTCATCTTTTTTTTTGTCGTCCACATTTTGCTAGACCATTTCGTTTTTAAAAGCTGTTCCGGGTGAAGAGCGGGGGTCAGACTAGGGCTTGAAAAAAAAGCCAAGCTTGGCCTGAAATAGTGCTTATTAAATTTAATGACAGCACGTTTGCTTGCGAAAAGCGATTCAACATTTTTGTTTTTTTTATAGCTTTTTTCGAACCTTTGCTTATATAGCTTTTTTGAGTAGTTTTTTTTCGTATTTGGTTTATTGAGGACTGTGGCTCATTGAGAGCACTGGGGCCATAACAGCACAGTCTTTAAGTTTAATTATGTGGCAGGGCTTTTTGGCCGACTCCATAAAGGGGTCGTAATGGACATAATCGTTATATAGTTTCAATTGAAATGGTAACAAATTTTATTGTTCGTGAACCTAAATTAGGAAAACGAAAGTTATCTTTGATTAATTCTTCATTTCCGGTTTTATTTACAATTTAATGGCCTCTCATCTTCTGGTATTTA